TCAAAAAAAATTTAGCAGTAGCACATTTTTGTTAGAATTATTTAAATTTTCAAATTCATTTTACGTTTCAAAAGATTTACATGAATCTTAATATTTATGTAAGATATAAGGCTGAAAAAGAAGAAATAATATTAGCATTTAAGTAAGGCATCGAGGTTATCCCTCAAAATCACACTTTTCATTTATTGAGAGCGGTCTGATGCATTAAAAAAAGACTTCATTGTAAGCTCTTTATTCATAAATGGTAAGAAAATGTATTTTATGTATGCAAAAATACTATTTCCTCCTTATCTGCGCATTAAACCAAATGCCCCGTGCACTCATTATTAACGGTCTTTCATTTATTATATAGTTTGTTTGTGCAAAAATTCTCGTTTATAACTTTTCATTATAATTTCTATGATCTATGTTTAACTCTCTGGTACTATAAAGGATGTAAATGGCGAATTTGCACAAACTATTTTTTCTCTTCATGAATAGAATGAATAGATGCATCTCGATATTTGTCATATTTTTGTGTTATATAGTCCTAAATTAACGTCACTTTATCTAATGAAATTTAATGTTGTTGTTAAAAAGCTATTTGATTTGTATTGTTATAGAATTCAATTCAATAGTTTTGGTTAATGAACACAATAAATGGTTTGTGCAGATATGCCATTTATTAATCTTTTAGCATTAGAGTAAAATATAGATAATGAATTTAATCTCTTCAAGAAAACTTTTTTTAAATCAATCTTAATAGAAAAAACAAAGGTTTGATTTTTGAAGCTATAATTTTTCGCTTTTTTCTCTTCAGAAATTATCATTATGTATTTTTGCTATGATTATTAATCAGTTAATCAATTTTTTCAACTTTATATTTACTTATTTTTTACTATGCAAATAGTTTATATCTTGATTATATTCTAAGCTAAGGTTAATACTGGCTAGGAATTTACTTATTATCCTAGTTTTTTTTATCGTAGTTAGGTAAGTTATCATTCTTGTTTAGCATGTCGATTTTTGACAAAAATAATTCGAAACAACATTGTAATGAATATTTAATGTTCACATCATATATTGTTTTATAATAACATTACTGATATTCTGTACAGGAGAATAATGGCAGACGATGATGTGAATGATATTGGTTTATTGATACGGTGCGCGCTGCAGTCATTCGATGATTTACTTATAAGATGCCCTTCATCATGGACTGTTTATCAACTTAAGGAAAAACTTGCTGTTGATTGCCCATCCAAACCAGTTACTTTTTCTTTATTCGTTTTTTATTTTTATTTTCGATCTCATGCATATTTAAAATTTTAAAACATTTACTTTCTTCTCTGCTCTGGTATGGTTCATTTAATTGCAGAATTTTTTCAGTTTTCAGAAGTAGTCATTAGTGCTATTACATAGAAATCTGCAGTCTAGGTTTTCTACCGTACATATAAAATATTATCAATGTAAAAAAGGTGCTCATGAAGTCTTATTGATACATATCTACCCTTGCTTCTTATTTATATATATTTATAATAAAAATTGGACTTTGTAGAATACAAAAAGTCAACGTTTGATTTATGCTGGGCATTGTTTGCATGACGATCGCACTCTCAAGTCAGTATTTGAACATTGGTCAGTAAATGATGAAAGTGTTCATGTCATACATCTTGTCTGTCCTCCTAAAAATTTTGCTGCTTATGAAAATGATTCAGTCCTCAGAAAGCGGAAAACCAGCTCTACACAGTAACTTTTAATTTTTGATTATGGAAGTTCATTTCAAGTTAATTCAGTCTTATTGCATTATATATATGCAACAACTACGTTCTGTTATCAAAATTTCTTCATTAGTTAAAATATTCCTGTAGCTACCAAATTTTTTTCAATAATTTTGAGTGCAAAAACTTGTTCTTTCATTGAGAGAATATTGAATGTTATTACCAAATTAAGTATGCTATTTTTAAAATGTGCTTTTAATCAAATCATTTTTATTGTAGGTCAAGTTCAGCTTCCAGTAGGTCTGAAACAGCAGCACCATTAAATCAAAATGGTAATGGTGCATTCCAGTTTTATGCGAATCCTCCTTGGGCAAATTCTTTTGCTCAAGCAAATTATGTCACTCCACAAGCAATGCTTAATTCTTCAAATGCTCACTTCCAAAGTGTGTATCAAGCATATATGGTTTCATATATTAATTAGTAAGTTTAAAAAGTTTTTTTATTTTTATTAAAATGTAAAAAATTTTTTTAAAAAAAAGTGGTTTGTAACGATGTTAATATATTGTGCAAATAATGTCAGTTTGCTGGTATAACATATTGAAACTATTTTGTATTTTAGCTTATTCTAAAACTTAGATTCAAATGGAAAACTTGTTTTACAGTTAATTAAAATGTAGGGTCATAGATCAAATGTCAGCAAAATGTTGCAGTATGAACCAGATTTTGTCTGCATTAGCAAACAATCCCAGCGATATTCAGCTTCCACCTCAACTCCTATTTGATAGTGTTCAGTCAGAAACATCTACTCTACCACAGCCACCACAGCAAGTTAATCAACCTCAGGGAGTTCGTTTTTATTTAATATTTTTGTCATTTCTTTCATTGAAGCCACAAACTACCGTAGCACTTTTCTCCGAATATTTCATCGTAATTAATACATTATTTGTTTTATTATCTCACAATAAAATATACAATCTTCGAATGAAATTGTTTTGTTAAATCATTTCTATATTACGATAGACTGCATATTTTATTTTAGTTGAATGCGGTTAATTGCATGAAATTTATTTTTATTCAGTGGAAGAATTTCCTTGAGAATACGCATTCTTTGTAGTTGATCGATCAGTAACTATATAAGAAGAAATAAATACTAATTGGTAAATATACCAATTAGTATTTATTTCTTTTAAATTCTGAGTGCTGAGCCGAAAAAGCAGATTTGAATCATAATGGTGTTTATTGATGTTTGAAAAAACCCAACAAATCAGAAATGTTGGTGATATTTAACTTTTCAGAATTAAGTTTTTTTATTTCAGGTATTTCCTGTTGAACCTAATTTGGCGGCGGCTCCTGCTGCAGGTGGTTTTGTTCAGCAGGCAATGGCAGGTGATGTCGATGACCAACAACGAGATTTTCTAGATGTCATATACAAGGTGTATATTCAAAAACTACATATTTATAGATTTTTTCAGTTGGAATTTATAATGTCAAAAAAATCCTTGTAGGCTATCAGAATGTGTTTTCTCATAATGCTGGTGTATGTGTATTCTTCTGCGGAACGATTTTTTGGAGTCTTGATATTCATTTTGTTGGTCTGGTTCATACAAGCAAGGCGTGACCGAAATAATCGCGAAAGAGCAGATCGAGAACTTGCTGCTGCTGTTGATAACTTTCGTCAGCCTCACCCAGTATTATATTTGATTTACATTCTGAATAACATTTGCAGTATTTCGCTATGTCATTAGAAAGTTATCTTGGGTATTTTATGTTCTCAGCGTTTGATTTTCTTTGAGGCTAATGAAAACCAAGGAGTAGCTGAAGGTATGAATGAAGTAGTCGGAGCAACACTTACTGAGCAAGAACTTCGGGAACCGACCGCATGGGTAGTTTTTTGGAGCACTTGCTACACGTTTATTACGACGTTCTTTTCGTCACTTATCCCGGATAATCCAGTGCCTGTTAACATTAATTAATATTCAAGCAGTAATGTGTACAAACTTGTGGCATCTACACGCGTATTTCTTGTATACCTGTGCATTTGTATCAAAATAGTTAATGGTACTCTACTAATCTTCGATGTGATTGATAAATATAGAGCTCGATGATTGTCTAGTATGGACTAGAGATTTTAGATTGAAGACTTTTACCTCGGCATTTCTGTCATTTCCAATTTCAAGTAGTTTAGTTGTAAGCTTTTCAAGTTACTACACTCGAAACTTCTGACCATAAACTCCGGTGGTCTATGCACTGCAGTGCTAAACTGATTCCATCAAGTGAGTTTCTCTCGTAACTGCTGGATCTTTAAACTCTTAACACTTTCGAAAAATATGCAGAAAGCTAGTATTCGTAAATGTCGTTCCTAAAAATGCATCTGAACCTTACAACGTAACAAAATTTGTAGGAATTGTTTGGAAGAAGATGTGTTTAAGATTTTGTCTTTAATGACTTTGAAAATTTATTCGCACTGTGAGTATTAAGGAAGCTCGAGAGAGATTAAACTTATGACTGGTAATAACTCATTTTATTCTTACAACTCAACGCATTGCAATGGCAAATCTTGAAGTTTTCACAAACGATAGAATAATGACATGAATTGCGTGAAAGTGTAGCTAAGATTGAACTTGATTCTGCAAAATGCGCATAATGCGTGGCATGGTCACGTATTATGGTAGTGAATGCGGCGATAGTAATAGTAAAAGTGCGAATAGGAAAATAACTCCGGGTTTTGATCACATCCTATGTAGAGCAAAACAAGATATATGTAGGAAATATTTTGTGGCAAGAAAATTTAGACTGATTATGTTTTACAAATAAACGAAGAAATTAGATCTCACAAGAATGGCATACAGTAATTATCCTGCAAGGTTCAGAAACGCTTCTAAATATCCTAGATGCACGGACAAGTAAATGGAAACTTAGCAGAAACAATTGAGTCTTACATTTTCTGTTTTCCGCCGATCTTCGTTTACTTCGTCGCGATTGACTTTGTTTATAACATACCAACGTTCTCTACCAGTTACTCTTCTTTCTGGTGATTTTCGTCTTCAAGTTTTAAAATAATTAACCACAACTGCCAATACGTATATAAATAACTATAAATAGAAGCACATGATTACATTTAAAAATATTAAAATCATTAATTACCGGGATCGGAACTGTCGTCATCTTCGTCAGGATAAATTTCATCACGATCCACTGAGAGGTCAGTTGAGCAAATGCAGTATGTAATCAACGACAAGAATGATAACGGTACTCCAAATAAACAGAGTGTTAACATGGGCTGTGCTCTGAACATTTCTGCTATGTTTGTGAACAGCTAAAATTCTGATAAAGATGATGTAAAGAGTACAAGAAATCAGTAATTACAATAGAAAATGCTCAAATTAGATCACTTTTAATAATTCCACTATTCTTACTTAAATCTTGTCTGTCTTACCTTCAATATAACTCAACTCTACTGCTACCGAAAATAACATTGCTAAAATAATTAGCACTGACGATTTTTAGTAGGGCGACTTCTATTAGATCTTTGTTTTAACAATAATTTTCTTTTTTGTTAAATAATTTATTTTATCAAACTCTGTCCTAAAAAAACGTCCACTGAGCTTCGGCTACATTATTGATATAGAATTATACATTGAAAATCTTAGTAGTGCGAGTAAAGAACCGATTAAAACAAAAACCGACAAAACACAAATTGAAAAACAAAAATATATAGAATAAAGTTTTTGAATACAGCAACGAGTCCTTTGTATCTTTCCAAAATGTGAAAATTGTAAAATTTCGTATTTTATGTCTCAAAAATACCTCGAAAAGTATTCGCTTGATTCGTTGTAATAACGAACGGCCACCACGTGGTTCTATACCATTTGCAGCTATTCTTTCCAAAAGTGAAATAATACTCTTTTCTGTCATAATACTTGCAGGATCACTGTATGAATAATATTCATAGCTTGAAATATTGAAAACCAGCAAGCCTAAAATGGATTTATTATCGAGGCAAAAAAACGCTTAAATTTATTTAAAAAAATGGAATATACTAGCCCTTCAATTTTCTTAAAGGTAATCATAAAGTGACATAGCTCATAAACAGCTGTGTCATGTTTATTTATTGAATGAGAAATTTAAGTCAAGAATATATGCTCTATAAATAAGTTAAATACAAATTTAATGCAAAAGTAATGGCAAAAAACAATAAACATAAAAAGAAATTACTTGGCACATTTACAGTGCCCAAAACGATGTTATTCGCAATTTCATTACCATCTAACCAACCAAACTGGAAATTTTTCGAAAGATAAGGATCTTTGCGAACTGACTGGGCAGCTCTAGTAACCATAGAAAAGAATCTGCAAAACCATTTGAAAACTGGGAAGTTCGATCTGATCATTTTGTTGAATTTGTAATTTAAGGCATAAAAAGATCGAAATGCAAACTACTGATAATGCGAAAACAAACTTTCCAACTGCTGTTGTGTCGTTTTTTCTCTCAACCATATTTACGACAGCTAAAACTAACTTTCGCATTTTTCCAACATCTTTAATATTTGCTGAAGTAACGAGTGGTATTAAAGACCACCGTTCACTGTGAATCCAATCGCTTAAACTTCCTTCAACAAATAAAAAAACATTCTGTTATCAGAAAATCAGCTTTCGTAGCCATATATGCATTAAAAAATTACATAAATATGGGAGGATAGCTACATATCACCATCCATTTCACCTCAGCAATCATGCAATTAAGAAAAGTAATGTTGGGTGGTGATGTTAGAAAGTATTCGAAGCATGAGAGTTAAAAGCAAAATTTCTCTTTCTTGCAAGAAACGTGAATCAGGAAAAAAATTAATCAAAATGCAAACTACCACACTAGTGGTTTTAAATAGTTTAATAATTTTGCTATTAGAATACGATGAATGCAATTAAAATAATTTACAAAGAATAAATAATAAAAGTTAGAAATATTAGAATTATTCACAAGAACACAGTAAACAGTCCATAAAAACTATATTTCAATAGTAATTGGATAAAAAAAGAAAATTAAAATACATGCACTACAAATAAAAACATTAGCTTACCTTCATTTGGATAAATAAGATATTCATTATCTTTGAAAACGATTACTGATGGAAGTTTAGCAACTGAAATAGCTTTGGGAAAGACATCTTTTTGAGCTCGATGAAATGATATAAACCAAAATAACACTTCAGCAATCTTAGTGTAACTATCGAATAATTCGGTTGAATGCGTATCTTTAGAATCCTCCACATATACAAAAAATGGCTCTTTCATACTTTTTCGCATCTGCAACAAATTTGATTACGTAGAAAATGAACTGTAAAAAAAGTAATTGCTGATAATATATCACTTCAAATTTAACAAATTTCAATAAAATTTCAATATGTTTTTAAATGTAATTTAAATAACCTGCGATAACTGTAGGACATCTTCAATGATACCAATCACAGGACCAGATGCTTTTATTGCAAAATCAATAATGGCTTCTTTTTTTCGTTCGCCTTCATAAGACATTTCTTTTCCATTTCGAAAGCTACAATAAAAAACATTGTGTGAAAGCATACTAATAAGAAGCATATTTTTTTAAAACTGGTCTTTTGCAATACATGAACTTACAAAATAATTGTAGGATATCCACGAATATTTAGTGCAGATGCTGTACTTATATAACGAGTACAATCTAGTTTAGCAACTCGAACAGGAGATTTCTGATCAGCCAATGCATGACCAACATGCTCCCAGACTGGCATTAAACGTTTGCAGTATGCACACCACGGAGCATAAAACTTCATATATCGTTATGATAAGAAATTTATTAAAAAAAATTAAAAAAGTGTATAGAATTTATATGTTAAAAATAAATAATGTAAAACTTGAGCAAAGATCTGATTTGTATATAATAAAACGGAATAGCATTTTCTGTATCATAAAAATCAGTGATTGACTAAATTCGCTAGCTAAAATTACTTACTTTGGTTTCTGACATTTTAAGAGAAAAAAGAAATAAATTCATTTAAAAAATGTTTCATGACTACATACGCCAACAAACCATAAACCGTCTTTCTTTGCTTGAAGAAAATTCTCATTTAATTCGATCACTTGAGATGATATTTTTGTAGCATAAATAGAAGAGATAACACGGTAGGCGATATATACTACAATATAATGAATGACCAATCGACATCCATTGCACGTTTTCATCACTAGTGGATGATTAATCTTAGATTCTCTATAAATCTATATCAGTCATTATTTTCATTCATTTAAAATAGTAGAAATACGATAAAGCATCAGGACTTTACATATGGAAACTTCCTGGAAGCTGCGAATATCAACCACGATGTTGCTTGTCAAAACCTATGTGATAGAAATTCTATCCCATCAATGTTAGCTACATTTTGCTAGAACTATCACTGCTCTTACAACTCAATAAAAAAACTTGATAACAAACAAAACAGTAGGACGACACATCAAAATACCGAGATTTTTTTCAAAAATGTATGTAACATTTTTTATGCTAATAGTAATGGCTGACAATCCGAAACTGAACTTGATACCCCATATAATTGAAGGCTTCACGGTTAGCGTAGCCCCAGAAGTTAGCATAAAACAAGACTGTCGACATGAAAAATCAAGAATGAGAATATTCTACCCCAAACCATCCTAATTTACATAAAGCCTTCAGCTTACATGATCAATTTTTCTAATATTTCGCACAAAACTTGTACTTTGATTGTAAAACACACTGCTGCCATCAAATACAGCGAAACAACAGTATTTATTTGCCTTTTACAAAATCAACCAAATCGCAATTGTAGGTAAAGATAATTATCCAGATTTTAATATATTGGTAGAGAATAAAAACATATGAATTAAATAATTACTAAAAGAAAAATCCAAGTATTTTTCCACCAAGATGTTTCCTTCTTGCTTCTTCATGATCCATTATTCCGCCTGATGTTGTCAACACAAGATGTCTATAACAATTGAAATTTGAAGATGTACTCATTTTTTAAATGCATTTTAGAATACATTACATACTATATTTCCACGATTAATCACAAACTCGTGAGTTACATGTGTAACAATAATCTTCACAACAAATCGCATTGTATACTTAAGCTCAAACTTCAAAAAACGAAGTCTATTTACAGTGAATAGAAACAAACCCAAACTGGCGTGAAGGAAGAAGATTGGATGTCCATTTTTCTAGATCTTTCAAAGATATATCAAAACGAGGACTGATTACAGAACATTTGTTGATCCGACCAGTTAAGTTAACAACTATTTTCCCTGCTCTATGATCATCAATAATTTCAAACTCTCCAATATATCCAGCTTTCATCATTACGGTTAAAAATCGTACTATTACCTAAAGAAATATTGATCCAAATCCTTTCTTACAAAGATAAATCTTCCTGAAGTAAATAAAAAAACAAGAAACAAGAAATCGTTCATAATTACATATATGTCGCTAAAAAACTGCTTTACATCACTTTTGCTAAGCTATGCTTATTCCTTTCGAATTTGAGACTATTTTCAAAACTTACTTTAGAACAGGGTCGGATCAAGACTTGTCGTTTACCACGTTTTTCTGCATTATTAATAGTCTTCAAAGCATCAGCCAATACACTCATCCGCACCATTGTCTATTATGTATAACGCTGATCAGAACGCTGGCAGTACTTCAATGTCTAACCCCTTGAATAAAAAATCTTTACAGTATCAGTGATATCCAACACGAGCCTTCAAAAAACAAAACGATGAAACAAGTACTATTTCACAAGTTCTTACTAATATTTAATTAGCAAGTAGTAAATGATTTTCAGCTAACTAGTGCATTAAAAATACTACTCATAATAAGGCGCAAGACTTTTACTGGTATGTATTTCTATCGATAGAAAATAGTGAAAAGATGTGCAAATTCAAAAGTACGTTAATGCAAGAATTAGTATGAACGCAGATAAGAAAGAGAGGACAAAACTACCTCAAGTCATGTCACACACCACCTCACATGCAACATACAATAAAAACCCTACCAACTCCATTTGAGAACAACCTAAAATCACGTTAAATTAAGTTAGTTGGGAGATCTTTTTGACGGGCTGCGTTATTTTCAGTTAGAATAGTCATTGTTAGGATGACGATTTGGTGAAGTAATTCTGAGATATGTGTTAAGAATTGGTACTATCTGAATGCCAATAATGGCATGCTGAGTCGTTTTGCATTCAGATAGTATATTTAGTTCAAGGTAATCTTACTCATAAGAAAATTGAGGCATCGGTTTAGTACATCTGATGATCTCTATTATCGAATCTCGTCGCCATTGAATATTATCGTAGTCCTTATGAAAATGTTTAGAAAAGAGGAGGAAAAATTGTGGAACATCCAGGAATCAGATAACTCAAGTCATTTTCAAGACAGAAGACTGGGAATTGTAAAGATTTAAGAGTATATATATGTGATGTTCTATCATATTCCGCTGGATCACGAAATATGTCTTCATCCTAAATATTTTGGTCCTGATTTGGTAGAGACTGTGAAAAGGAAATTATTCAATGAAGTCGAAGGTACTTGTACTGGTAAATATGGATTCGTTGTTGCGGTAACTACCATCGATAATATTGGTTCAGGACTCATTCAACCAGGTTAAAATTAGCATATATTCAAACAAATTCTATGTTGAAAAGGACTGTATTAGTTTGAAATTAATTTCGAATTTTAGAGTTGGGAAATAAGCATAAATCTCGAGATTGAACGCTTATACTGTTTGTGATATTTAATTTTCTGATTGTTTAATGCTTTTGATAGTACGAACTTAAAGCTTTTAGGACGTGGTTTTGTATTATACCCTGTGAAGTACAAAGCTATTGTGTTCAGGCCATTTAAAGGGCAGGTTGTTGATGCTGTCGTGAATCAAGTGAATAAGGTGAAGATCTTCTGATTAGACTTCTTGTTCTACATACTTACGAAAGAGTTTTTATTCTCTAAATATCATATTCATGATTTACTTTTAAATATTTTCTCAGGTTGGATTGTTCTGTGATATTGGACCTTTGTCATGCTTTGTGAGTCGTCATTGTATTCCACCAGATATGGAATTTGAACCAAATTCAAATCCTCCGTGCTATAAAACAGCAGATGAAAGTGTAGTTATTAAACAAGACGATGAGATTCGGGTGAAATTAATTGGAACACGAGTCGATGCTTCAGACATTTTTGCTATTGGCACGCTTATGGATGATTATCTTGGCCTTTCAGCTAATGAATGATTGTTGCTTCAAGAATTGTTTTGAAACAGTTATGCGCGAAATTTTCATTGAGTGTACATTGTTTCTTTCTTGTCATATATAAGCTTAATTTTATAGTTATGAATACATAGGTGTGACATTTTAATAGTTTAAAACTTTATTGTTAGAGGCAGCGGATACTTGGAAATGTACTTAATTGTAGAGTGTGGGATGTGTTTATGGGTGATGTAGCTGGAGTTTTTTTGCTTGAGAGGATGTGATTCTTTCTCTAAGATTTTTTAACCAAGTATAAGTTATGGTGTATGTAGCAGTATCATCAATAATCTTCGATTTGCTTATGGAGGATTGTCGAACACATTATAGCTTAGTTTTCCAATGTTTATATCGCTATCGGCAAGTTAATGTGTTGAACTTATTTTTTTGTTGATTATCTGTAAATTGTAAAAATGAAAAGCAGTTTGTGATTTTGTATAGCTGAATATTAGCTATGCTTGCTAAAATATTCATGGAATTTTTTTTTCTTTTGTAGCATACCTTCATCTGTGAGTAATTATACAATTTTGGTGTTTTCTCTGTAAAGTAAATTGATCCTTGTTGTGAAGTGTCCTGTAGGGCTTCTATTGCCTCATAAATATCTCAACTTGGAAAGATGAGTTTATGAAAAGCTAAACCACTACTTCATCTTTTTTCAGGAAGTGCCTACAGAAATGGGCATCTTGGATTTACAGATGTTTGATGAGGTGAGACGAATGAATAAAAGACAATTACTATATCAAGGTTTAAATTGTGCCATGATTGTATCTTCTGCATTAATGATTTGGAAAGGATTAATGGTTATCACGGGATGTGAAAGTCCCATTGTGGTTGTGTTATCGGGTTCTATGGAGCCAGCTTTTCACAGGTATATCATCAAGATCTTGTCCAAATTTTAAGATTTTTGTCGATAAAGAAGTAAGGCACTATGAGATTCATTGAAGGTGTAAAGGTGTATCTTAATTTTTTGGCAGTCTGAAACTTTATAGCTCTCTGATTTGTAGAGGTGACTTGCTATTATTAACGAATGACCGCTCAGATCCAATCAGAGCTGGCGACATTACTGTGTTTAAAATTGAAGGACGAGACATTCCGATTGTGCATCGAGTAATTAAAGTACATGAGAAAGATAACGCAGAAACGAAATTTTTAACGAAAGGTGACAATAATCAGGTAGGGCATTTATTTGTCCGTATGTATTTCAATCTTTTTGAAATAGCTGCTATAGTATCTCTTATCGATGTGAGTGAAACAATTCTAAATAGTGACCTATTATAATGTGCTATTAGGACATGCACTTCCAGATTTCTTTTAGTTTAGGTATCTTCGATTCGCTTCTGACTTGGCATTTTTCAGATCCTTTTTTTTATCTTGTGCATCTTGATTGTGATGTTCGAAAAGCTCATTTAAGGTTGATGATCGAGGACTGTACGCTTCAGGACAGTACTGGCTTACGCGTAAAGATGTTATTGGGCGCGCGAAAGGCTTTGTACCTTATGTAGGGATGGTGACAATACTGATGAACGACTATCCGAAATTAAAATATGGAGTGTTGATCGCTTTAGGTGCTTTTGTTATTTTACACAGAGAAGGGTAGTCGCTCTCCATTGCTCTTGTTTTCAGTCTTCCTGTCACGACTTAAATCCACGCTTTCAATACCCCAATGTTTTAAGTCCGGGAAGTCAACATTGCTAGTTAGAAGAGTATGAAGACTGATTTACGTGTTGTCATATTTCTTGATTTCGCAAACAAACATTTCCCAAACCTTGGAAGACTGGAAACTTTGATAGATTTTGATATTACCATTCCACATCTTTGTTCTGCGAACAGAATAACGATAATAAAATCATTGTGTCATTGCTACTGCTCATTTCAAAACTGCCCCAACCGCTCTCTACGATGAAAAATTACTACCAGGTGCGAAATACTTCTTAACTCTGTCTTTGTATGGTCACGCGTTATCCGCGCACATTATCTCATGTTTATGCAATTACCGGAAGCATATTGATCACTTAGGTTTTGCAAAGCTGAACCATGCTAGACCATAAAAAAAGTTTCTTGTTGAAGACGGTTTGATGAGAAAACGTGCGCCCTTACAATCATCGTCGAGATTTAGTTATGGCAAACATCTACTTGTAATTGTTGCATGAGCGAAACTGTTAATGAACTCTATTTTTCAAGCACTAATATGGTACTTATGCATAATCTAGGCTTCATGAATATTCTTATCTGATACAACCCAGGGGACCGGGTGTTTATGTCATGAAACTCGATCATGGAGTCACTGGATAGAGAGTGGATGCAAGACTCATAAAATTACTGAGAAACATTTAATAGTCGTCCAAAGGAAAGTTCAGGAAACGGAAAGTATTAACGCGACATAGGAACATGATGTAGACGATGACAAAATGTAAACAATGACAGAGTAACAAAGATGGGTGTAGGCTTTTAACATAATGAAAATAAGTCGAGAATTGCAGAGTCATTATTGAACTGATTTCAAAAACTGAGAAAATGACAAACAAAGCAAACAGTAAACATCATCCAACAAAAGTAACAAACTGACAACAGAAAAGTGAATGGAATGCATTTGCGCCGGATACCCGCAACTAAGCTCGCCCTGCCCAGTCTATGTTAATTTTCTTTCAATTAGTGGATTGGACTTGCTCTAACAATATTCAAACCCTAGCCTGTTGGGAAGCAGGACACATACAATGACGCAAAAGCAACTTAGAATGCGAATTACAGCAACTACTACAATACGGATCTGATTCTTACCAATTTAAAGTACTGACATCAAACTTTTATAAGTCAATATACATACATATCTCGCGATGGCAACAAGTCAATTTCCTACCGAATGTTTCCGATATTCCAAAGTAATAATGAGCACTTGGCTATCCCTGTTAACAAAGTTTAATATTGCACTTTTAGCAATAAGAATTTAATCAAAATTACTGAAGAAATTTTGATACAATGATGCAACCTATTTTGTAGCTATCCGAATGCTACGCACTGGAATCCATCAACACTACCAGTTCATATATTCATCATCCATAGGTCATCAAGTACAGGTTATGATTTTTAAATTTTCGAGCAGAACACAACCTATGACAGCAGTTTTTCAAAACGACTTTATCTATCCGCAAAATTTTGCTTTTTAGCTTCTTGCAGACCTTTGCATCTGATGTAAAAGATGCTTTACATTTATATAGAAATTTTTAAATGTTTCACTTATTCCAGACATTTTACATTCTTCCTCATAAGAAAACTCGCAAGGCAAATGAAGACTCCAAAACAAAATTCTCACGAGGCAGAAATTTATGGAGTTATAATGCATTCGTCCTTTGATTGCTGATGTAATTACAAACTGACCTCTTCTCAGCTTCTTTAGAGCAAGCTCTGTTTAGGCGCTGCTATCATATATTATCACTCAACAAAGAGGTCATGATAACATATTACACCAATCTAAGACAATAAACAGCAGACAGACAAATAAAATTAAATACACATGACAGAGCATTTATCAATAAAAATACAGACTCTCACAAAGAAATTATCTGGAGATAACAAAGAGATCAGTAACCCACCTCATAGACGGTGGCTTTCTTTTCACCGGATCCGGTGACAATATATTTATCATCAAATGATATATCGCATGACAAAACAGATGAGCTTTCTTTGGCTGTCAGAAGGGATGCACCATAGGGAGTCCGCCAAGCACACAACATATTATCTTTCCCAGTTGAAACAAACCATTTTCCACTATGTGCAAATTTTAAGGATAGAACACAGCTATCATGCATATGAAGTGAGTATCTGCAATGCGTCTCAGATGACAACTCGGACGTCAGATCATTTGCTAGTACAGTTTCATCCCGAAATTACTGGGTGATAAAGAAGAGTAATATAGATCTTAATACAATCACATTTGCTAAGGTATGACACGTTAGACTAACCAAGTTTTTATTTACCAACCGAGATCTCTTGAAATAATTGAAATATATATATACTTAACCTAGTCATACCTTAAACCACACTAACCACGAAATATGACCACACTAGCCACGAAATATTATCTCATATAAACATAACTCTAGAATTAAGACTTAACTTCCACAGAAAACCGACCTGTCTGGTTTATTGATATGTAGAACTTCTACATTGCTATTTTCCATACCAACTGCCACCCAGTCATCACATGGGCAACATCCAAGAGAAAAAATTTGTGACTGGAAATCATGCTGCTGTAACTGTAATCTTTCACGCAAATCCCATGAACGAACAGTGTTATCTAAACCGCCGCTCCACAGCCTTACAGCATCGCTTGAAAGATCAACACAACTGGCACCGTCTTGATGTCCAGGTAAACAGTGAATCTAATGAATAAGAAATATACTACTGATATTTGAAGACAATGATAAGATTGCACAATAAAAGATTATAGTTAAAAAAAATGCAAATCATAACTTGACAAAAAAAGCAATATTTAACAGATACCATTTTTTTGCTATCGAGATCCCAAATAATAATTTTGCCATCAGCTGAACACGAAAAACATAATTTGTTATCAGGAGAAATCGCTAATGCATAACAAGCTTGTGCTTCGCTATCCAATTCTACCTTTACTTTTTCGGTCTGCAAGACAAAAATTCATTAATTTAATGGTCAGTTCATGGCAAATAAAGACATGATCCCGGAATTACTATCAAATAAAAAGCTTGTGTAGTATATTTACCAACCGCAAGGTCCCAAATAGTGATTGTCTGCGCTTCACCCCCTACAATCAAGGTAGAACCGTCATTGAATAACTTGCATGACCGAATGTAGTTGTCTTCGAGGCACTCGAATGTTGAGATCGCATTTTTTGATGTTTCCGCTCTAGATATGTCCCATACCTCAAAATATTCGCAAATATAAAATGACGAAAACATAGTTCACGAACAGAAAACCAAAATAGATATGGAAGATAAATAGAAAAGTTGGTAAAAAGTGATTTATACAAGAGATGAAGCAAGGAAATTCAAGTAACCACGAATTATAATTTTGAAAAACTAAAAATAAATTTCTGCTTATTTAGGTGAGGTATTAGAGTCTGAAAAATTATAATTTGAATCTCAGGCACTTTTGTTGAAATGCTTTCATATCACATCTTTTTGAATAAATTCTGAATTACACGAACAAAAAAACTGTAGTTGAGATAGCAAGAAAATACATTACAGTAGCATACCTTGACACATCCTTTCCCGCCAGTATAGACATGTCGATTTTGGTGTGAAATGGTCACAGCACAAACTACCTCTCCGTGTTGTAAATCATGGACCTTTCGTGCTATTCGAGGTATACCAGGGCCCATAAGTGCGTCTTGTGGAAATGCCACTGGCTGCAACTGCCCACTCTCTGTTGTTTTGTAACTATATGCTGGCTTTCCATTTGACATGGCTCCAGCCTGGCTCATTCCAGCCATGAAACGCGCTTGTGCATGAGGATCTAACATGGCAGGCAAAGCTGCTCGTCCAGCAAATGAAGCCAATGCTGGATTTGCAAGCATAGATGAAGCCATCGATGCCATTGCATCGGATGATGTGAGAGCATTAGAAATTCGAGCTTTGCCTGGTGTAGAATCACCGGAAGATATAGACTGAGTACTCTCTCGACCATCTTTTTTTAAATTCACACCATTAGTAATGGATGGATCATCATTTTGTACATCAATCTCTAGCTCACCATCCCCGTCTTCAGATTCAACCTGGAGAGTATTAAAACTCATCTGAAACTTAAAATTAGAAAGATATTAACAAGGCTATAAGGATACAAGTGAAAATTACGCAAGCAATTAAGAGAGTTAATTGTTATTCTTCAAATTTTCTTACAGTTAATATTTTAAAATCAGAATTTCATGAGCACTTCGCGAAAAATATTCTAAAACTACTGGCCCTTAAAAGTGAAGGATGCAACTAATTTATGTAATAACCTTCGGTCGTTTCTGGCTTGTTTCTGGTGTATTAGAACGAGGTCGCGATGCACGACTAGGATTTCTGTCATCATTCTTTTCTTCTGGCTTAGCCCCCATACCGACCGCTGCAGCTGCAACAGCAGCAATGGGATGGAAAGGGCCTTGGGCCCCTAGACCCATCGGAGCAGCCATACCCATGCCAGGTAACATGGCCAACTGCTGTTGTGCATGTACCTGACTCCCGATTACCTTGATAAAATGGGTAGTTAAGCACAAATAAGAGAACTGTAAATTAATGTAAATAAGTGACTAATAAAAATTGTTTTTTGGACACACACTTCAAATTCCAGCCCTACAATGTGAAATACATCATTAAATCACACTTTTGATATTACATATCACATTTCACCATGAAACACACATACATTCCGCATTGGAAATTAATGAACCACTACTTGATGCAACTCTGCCATGCTGATCTGTCTCGCACGCTCCATCGCAGCCAATGCTGACTGCTGATGTTCAGCTGGTAACAACGGAATAATCTGAGATAGAATCGCGTTATACCGCTTAGCTATTTCTGTCTGTTTATGCATTTCCACGTTTAAACCATAACTCATTTCATAATACATCATATAATGTCGCTGCATCGCTTCCTTCTCTTGCGACAGTTTTTCAATCTCCACCCGTTGTTGTTGCAATTGAGTTTGAATAAAATTATACTCCTCTTTAATTCGCTCTAGATGATCCAAAATTGTCATCTTCATAGCTTGATGGGGATTACCCTGAAAAATAGTATTACTTCCAACTTGTCTAAAACAATTAATAAAAAATGTTTCTTCTATGTAAATTACACAATACAAGGATATTGAATGCAGAACTGTTTCTAAATATGTCATGCATCATCTACATTTTACATTTAAACAATAAACCGTAAAATATGAGTAAAAAGAAAACTACTAATTTAAATTCATTAGGATTTCCTTCTTTATTTCAGCGAATGAGTAGGGAGAATCATGCTCCTAAATTACGCAATGCGCAGTTATCATATTTTAATGTGTCTATCAATTATCACATCTTTTAAGCATCGACGACAAACAAAGCTCAAAAGATTTCAACAATCTAGTAGTGCAAAGAAATATTACTGATGTTTCAATAGCGCACTGATCAAGAGTCACTGCTTAAATTTTCAAAAGCATAAGCATGCGATAGACCGTCAAAACCAAAAGAAAAATTGAATTGCATCAACCAGAGTAGTTTTACAGACAAAATTTCATCTCTACACCAAACAAAAGTATCGCAGGGTCACGCACTGCCATCGCACTAAATGATCTAGTTAGTTTATCCCCACTAATTAATTTCTCATTCTAACAAGAGCAAAGAAATCCTGTTGCTCCAGTGATAGCTGATTAGTTGATTGACTGACTAATAAAATGTCAAATACTCATACTAAAAAGGCCACTCCAAAAGTTAACAGTATGTCATAGAAAGTAAACTTCCTACTTCGTTTAATTATTACAGTTTTCTGAAAAAATCAACATTTTTCCTAATAAAAATTTTAACAGCACCGCAAAATATCTTCCAAGCAAATTAACCAGAATCATTCTTCTACACTTTCATAAGGACATATACTATGATCTCCAAGCATAACACTAATATGAAAATTACACACCAGGAACCACTTAAAACTGTTTGAATCTTTGTCATAATCATTATCATACAGGACACATCATCAGAAAATTATACAAAATACAAATATAGCTGCTAAAAATCGAATACTTTGGACATGCCGGGCTTAAATCAAGCGTAACTCTTGACTACTTAACTGCACATACACTGTAATGAAGAAACACCCATGAGTGAGGTTGCTAAACCATTCAAATTAACTCGAAAATAAAAAAAAATCAAGAGAAGGAATCAATTAGTTTGCCGAGAGAAGATGAATTTAGCAGTAATGTCTTAAAGTTAATTCAAAAATGTAGAGGAATAGACTAAACCATACTGGAAAACAAAAATTTCACGTAGTAAAAGACAGAAGAATGATGCGATGGAACAGCTCTTTTGAAAAAACAATGAAATCATCAAATTCAAAGATTTTTCACGTCGTAAAAAAGGCGAAATGGCCAAATTATGCTAGATAAATGTACTTCTATAATTCCAATCAGCTCGAGTTACAAGTAAGCCCTTTGGAGTGGGAATGAAAGAAAACTGGATTAAAAGATGAACCATGAGCGATAACACTAGTGATTTAAATAAAACTTACAGAAAAGGTGTATATGAATTTAAGCTTAAGCAAATGGGTGAAAGTAGCGTCTTTGACTCCCTACATTTAACGAAGTATGCTTACATGTATACGCGAAAAGAAGGTAACATGAATGCAGCTAATAGTTGACAATCAATGCAGAAAAAAGATATAGAAAAGTGTCGCAGAAACGCATTATTGCTTGGCCAGAATGAATCCAAAGAATGAGTTAATTATTTTCGCGAAAGTGTTGGACTAGTTGCGGAGAACGCAATTTATACAGAAAATGACATGGTATGTAAATGAAGAGAAGAAGACAAAATAAAACATTAGCTACAATGTCATTCGATTAAGGCGGCTTACCGATAACATAAAAGCACAGAGAGGTTGAACAACTGCTGTCTCAAGCACCAAACAGCAGAGCTGCGACTACCGTTAAGTGTAGTAACAACAACAGCGATGTTACTGTGGCTAAGAAATACTCAAAAGTAATAAATAAGAAAAGAAAGCTAAGTAAATAGAGAAGGCACAATTGGAATAAGTGCTGAGGTTGGTCAATCAGTGTCGTTGTCGTAGAGTCCGGAGTGGACTGCTACACGAAGAAGCGCATGCAAATGCTTGCGGGTCAGCACTAGAGAAGAACCATGCAGAACTGCAGAGTACTCATTCACGACACGCAGCGCTTCACAGAGAACAAACACTGCTCCATTCTGTTCCGCAATGCACACCTCATGCAGACACACACTGCTACTAATCAATACGAAACTACATTATCACTCCTTCGTATGCAAATACAGCAGAAAGCATTTCCCACACACAATAACACACAGATATAAACACTCTAGCTTAATTTACCACGCTCATCTCTCATCTTCATCAACCATTTCAAATAGCCATGCACGTGACAGCGTTTATGACGAATTATAACTAATGCCAGATAACAAAAATGACCAACTGACAATCCAAGCCAGTTTCAACTTCCATATCATGCTACGGCTGCTGACATCGTATCAAGAAGTAACAGTCAAGTTCAATTTATTCCATACAGGTGTCTTTAACTTTACAACCATTACATACGCGTCATAACAACACTAATCCTTCAATAAACGAACCATTAAATTGTCCGCCTCTTTGCTCAACCAAATCAGTGGTTGAAAGGACACTGCCTCCACCCTTCCAAATGCGAGTTTCATCAGGGTCAACTCCCTCCCCAGGGGGTGCCAACACCACACTCATTTTGTCCATGAGCACACATACATATATGTAATATAGTCTTTTTTCCTCTTGTTCCCATATTCACTAGCAGCAGCAACATCCACTTGAAGGATAAACGAGATGATGGTGACAATATTTGTAAAACAGCTGTGCTTGCACAGCTGTCTCACAAACACTGCCATCTCGCAATTAATACATAATACCCACCCACCCACACCTTAACCCCTTCTCATTCTTCATTCCCTCTTTCTTAGTCCATTTACAATTACAAGCAATTACTCCCATCAATAAAACAAATTTAAAAACGCACACCTACTCACTCACTCATGCATCCCCATTGTAACCTATAACACCAACCGAAACATGATAAAAACACTGCGTCTGCGCAAAAAAATCAATCATTTCGCACACGACAAATATTTACTAATTTCCTTGTGATTAATTACTCATTTGAAACATTTATTTGCTTCTTCAGTCAATGCACTGTTACAAAAAAAGCTTTTCCACTCCAAATCACTAACTATACATGATAAGTAGAATCTCCTGATCTCAACTGAATGCATAATAGGCAGAAATAGAGGTGGAGGATTAATCCACATACTTCCGACCATTCTATTATTCCAATCTCAAACCAATCTTCGACGAATACAGTTACAGAATGGTCTTAAGCAAATCAATATGCTTTATTGAAATCTTTTGACAATAAAGTTCAATATTATCATCATCTGAGTGTAGTGACTGGCACAAAAAACAAATGGTATCCGTCGAGTGCCTCTACATTCACAACAGGAAGCCTGACCAGTTTACCTAGAGTACGTACCCCCATAGAATGAAGTGAAAAATAACTAAAACTAACTAATCAAGCTTAATCTTGTCTAAACGCAGTTACTCGTATGCAACTTGCATAAAAATTTATACTTTAAAATGTCACAGCACATACCATAAGGATACATCCCCTTTAAACTTTTCCATATTTTCCACTTTCCCATATTCTACTGAAAAACTTCTTTCCGGTTCATCGACTCATAAATTGATAAAAATACTCCAACTTAGTTTGAAAATGTTACACCTCTTACATCCCATTAAGATTTGCTTACATTTTGTTCATACAATATTTTAGCAGATGCAACTCTATAACATAGTTTGAAAATGTTACACCTCTTACATCCCATTAAGATTGCTTACATTTTGTTCATACAATATTTTAGCAAATGCAACTCTATACGATGTTAATAGTGATAATGAATAATGATTAACAACTTTCGTACAAATTATGTTTTAAAAAAATTGAACCTTTAAAGTTTCCTTGCGCACATCGTTTCGCTTACGACTCTTAGCAATCCAACTTGACGCAGCCATCCGGATGTGTTTTGCTTATCAACAAGTGATCACCAATTTCCATTGGTCAACGTAAAAGTATCCAAGAGGTTATCTGAACATCCTAACTGAATGCACTGCAAATATAACATTTAAAGATTGTAGAAGCAAAGAAAGTTCCAACATGCTATAAAATATCGCGGATTCAAACAGAAAATTAGACGAAAATTGTAGATGACATTTTAAAAAGTAAAGGAGGCAGTAAAATCAGATCAATTACGACTGGATTAAAGCACGAGAAAGACATATAGTGGTTTCGGAAGGTGAGGCTATAAGAAAGGATCAAGAGTACAGCATGTAATGGAGAAGCAATTGAAAGGGGAATGAGAAAGATGAAGTATTGACTTGAGGGATGAAAAGGAGCTGCAGGGTTAAGACTAATAAAAAGAAAAGAAGATGAGATAGGATAGAAAGATGGCAGAGAAAACGCTCAGATGAAGCTGTTAGTTACTGGGGCCGATTCATTTCTTGAAGACTGCGTCTCATCTCAGTAATTTCAACACAACTAACCCTTGCAACAATGCCACAAGGCTGTGATGGAACATTAACTACATACAACTGACTAATTCATTCACTGCCACAAAGAGTCTATTGTTAATACATATTATGATGCATTTGACATTAAACGGTACGACGATGAGATGGAAGTAACGTAAGAGTCAGCTAGTGAGGCAGACAGCGGTAAAAACACAAAAGGGCGCTAGCATCGGATAGAACAAACATATATATACGTCACCTTATCTGCTCTTGCACATCACATTTTCACTATTCATTCTACAAAATTCGAGGTTTGTTGCTATTGCAGCTCAAAAAAGAAAGACCGAGTTGTACGGCTTTTGTACATTTCATTAAAAGAAAAACACGTGACAGCAATTCCCTTGTTCATAACTTCACTCAACTAAATCACATCTCATTATTACAATGCTTAATGAA